ATCACGTACAATCATCACGTTTTTTTTTTTTTTTTTGTGTACTGGGATTTTCCCCTTCCATATTTGGCAATTTTCTGCATGGCAGTAATCGATTTTTTTTAGTTTTGAAATTTCTGATTTAAGACTCTAACCCAGACGAATGCATGATGAAAAAAGAGAAAATAATAAGGCACCCATTTTTATAGTCCAGGGGATGGCCGGCCCACGCCTGGTAAAAAGAATAAACAGAGAAAACTCGGAAAAAAGACAAAAAAAAAAAAAAAAAAAAAAAAAAAAAAAAAAAAAAAAAACAATCATCACGTACGTACGTACAATCATCACGTACAATCAGGGAGTAGTACAATAATGGTATTGTACTACTCCCTGCGTACAATCATCACGTACAATCATTTTTTTTTTCGTTGTGACCAACGGTACGTGTTTTGGCCAAATTTTTTTTTTCTATGGTAAAGCCTCTTGTACGGGCAAGAACAAAGTAATACAGCTAGCGTGTGTTGAAGAAGAAAATGAGCGGAAACGTACTATGCTGTGAAACACGCATGCGGCATGATCAGGGCAAATGACAGCTGAAAAGAAAAGGAAAGCAAACAAACACACACACACACGCACACACACACACACACACACACACACACAACAACAACAACAAGTGCCATACGCATGAATGTTAACGGCCAACGCCAAGGCCGACACCATCGCAAATTGCCAGCCCAACGAGACGACGACGTGAACCGCGGAGACGAAGGTCGACAGCCCGGAAAACAGCAAACTGATGGTGGATCCGCACCCAGGACATGACGTTGCTGTAGGACTTGTCCCACCTGGAGGCAAGGCGCATAGCAAGTCGCCGTTGATACGCACGGTACTCTGTGTGCAGTGCACCATCAGTTGAGCAGACCAGCGGGGTGAAGGATGCTCGCAGCTCCTCTGCGGCCGCCTTGTACTTTCTCTTCTTGGAAGAGGCAGCACTGTTGGATACGGCGTTCCAAGAGAGGTTCGAGCGGACATAGCTGGGTGCGTCGGCATCCACGATGCGGTTGTCAAAGTACGCCACCCTGTCTCCTTCCCAAACTCCCCGGACCAGCCAATCCGCCTGCAGTGTGGGGCGGTTGTTGCCATCCTGCACAGGTACCATCACCGGCTCGACAGCCACACCTCCCCATGCAACGTCTGCCAGCCGGGCATCGAAGTCGCGGACATCGTTGTGCCCGCGCTTGATGAGCCCACCCTTCATGCAATCCAGACCATGCTGTAGAGAGAAAGCAGCTCCACAGCCATCGCAATGCGACGGGAGAGCGTTCGGCTCCTGGCCATAGCGAATGGCCAACTGATCGCGGAACTGGACCGCCGACATGTCATAACCTTCCTGCTTGAGAGGAAGCACGGTCAACCAGCCGGAAGCGTTGCCATCAACGATGCCCGTACAATCATGTACAATCATGTACAATCATGTACACTGTACACTGTACACGTACTTTAAAATGCCGTTTAAAGGGGAAGTTATTCCCGTAGCTATGCAGAAGACGTTACTTCAGTAACGTCTGGCGCTAGCCAGGGTCCACACAGCTTTAATTTGGTGTTTGTTTGTGTGTTTGTTTGTGTCACGCCTGGCGCTATCCGTATCTGACGGCAAAAAGCATAGGATGTTATAAATTTTTCAATTCTCCTTTTTTTTCAGGCATATCCTGGGATTCGAACCCGCACTATCGCCCTACATGCATTCCCCCATACACTTCGCATTCATACCCATTCTTCCAAGTTGCTTTACGTTATTATCTTGCGTTTGAAAGCCCTATTTGAATATTGCGGGCAGCTGTATGTGGCCAGCTGTGTTTGACGGTACGGTACGGGAGACGGTGTCGTATTACCCTCGATCGTACCTGTCCCACCGTACCGTGCCATCAAAGACGGCTGGCCACAATGCATATTCAAAGAGGGCTTTCAAATGCAAGATCACAATGTGAAACAACTTGGAAGAATTAGTATGTATGCGAAGTGTATCGGGGGATGCATGCAGGGCACGCGATAGTGCGGGTTCGAATCCCAGGTTATGTCTTAAAAAAAAGGAATTTTTTAAAGAATATATAACATCCCTATGCTTTTTTTTGTCTAGGTCATCAAGGCAAAAAAGCATAGCGTAGGGCCCTGAGCTTCCAAGCTCTCTCGTTTAAGGCAAAAATTAAAATTTCACCAGTTGTAGTCTTCGGGGTGCTGAGTCGAATGGTCTTGGTCCGATAAAGCTGAGACGCTCCCTTCCTACTTGAATCCCAATCGAACTCGCGCACTTCCACCGAAACTGGGTGACTGCGCCCTACTAGATGGGGATTTGTATGCAAAATGTCACTAAAAGCGCCATTTCGTTCTTATAAAAGCACGGATGACCGCGATTAGCCCATATGTTGTAGTCTTTTGGACGCTGAGTCGACTGGTTTTGATCCGAAAAGGCTGCGATGCAGCGTTCCTCCTTTATTCCCAATCGAACATGGTTGAAGAAGCGGTCACGTGCTCCTGGGTGCCCAAATCACCTGGTCACCACGCCAGCAGGCGACAACTAATTACTTTCACACCAAGGTTCAACTCGAGTTCAACTCGAGTGACAGGACTGCACCCAAAAAAGGTCAAACAGGCTAGTAAGTTGTACCCTGCCGGCACGGTGACCAGGTGACTGGTGTACGCAGGAGCACGTGACCGCTTGTTCAACCATGTTCGATTGGGAATAAAGGAGGAACGCTGCATCGCAGCCTTTTCGGACCAAAACCAGTCGACTCAGCGTCCAAAAGACTACAACATATGGGCCAATCGCGGTCATCCGTGCTTTTATAAGAACGAAATGGCGCTTTTAGTGACATTTTGCATACAAATCCCCATCTAGTAGGGCGCAGTCACCCAGTTTCGGTGGAAGTGCGCGAGTTCGATTGGGATTCAAGTAGGAAGGGAGCGTCTCAGCTTCCTCGGACCAAGACCATTCGACTCAGCACCCAGAAGACTACAACTGGTGAAATTTTGATTTTAGGGTATACATGTACATGTACTTCCCCTTTAATTATTAGAGCAATATCCATAGCCTGCACAGTCATGGCTGCTAAAATCCAGAGGTCATGACTTCGTAACATGCAAATGCCATGCATAATTACATTGTACATGTACATGTACGCGGATTTTTGCGGACTAACGGTCACTATCTCGTCCGTCCCGGGATACCTGATAAAGGCTGATTCACTCGCATAGTCTGCTACATGTACTGTATCAGTGTCAGAAAGAACTTTGAAGAAGATGAGTTTGAGCATACAATAATGTATTGCCATGATTTCTACCCTGCTTTTCATTGAAAACACTATCTGCATGACCTCCGAACCCTTTACCATGCAGACCGGTGACCCATCAGTCCCCACCAACTATAGACCTGTATCCCTTCTCCCAATAGTGTCCAAGTTGCTGGAGAGGGTAGTGCAACGCCAGTTAGTTCGTCATTTGGACTTGACCCAGGCATTACCCGAAACACAATTTGCCTTCCGCAAGAAATGTTCCACGGAAGACGCCCTCTGTGTGCTGACTGATAATCTGCAGAAGGCGAGAGACAGTGGCAAGACCACAGGGCTGTGCCTATTAGACATGTCGAAGGCTTTTGATAAAGTGCACCACGACAAGTTAATTCAAGACCTCCTTGCGGTTGGAATTTCTGGAAAAGCCCTTAGTTGGTTCGTCGACTACTTGTCCGGCCGCAAGCAGCAGGTCCTCATCTCGCCTTCAACCAGCCCTGCTCTGGCTTGCACCTGCGGAGTGCCCCAAGGCTCTGTTCTCGGCCCTGTCCTCTTCAGTATATACACACGCGATGTCCCTTTGGTTTCCTCGCCTGTGCCAAGTGTACAATTTGCAGATGACATAGCCCTGTACGACTCCCAGGCCTCAGCGGCGGAAGCGTCCAGAACCCTCACCACAGCGGCAACTGCTCTGGCCGGTTGGCTGAAGTCCCGAGGCCTTATCTTGAACGCCACCAAGAGCCAGGTTCTGACTATCTCTCCCCAGCAGCATGTACAGGAAGTAACAGTCAAAAGCGGCGACTGTCTCCTCCCCTCAGCGTCTTCTGCGCGCTACCTCGGCGTTCACCTTGACAATCGCCTAGATTGGGACACCCATGTAAACTATGTGGTCACCAAGGTTGCCAAGAAAATTGGCGCCTTGTGGCGGGCACGCCGAAGCCTATCAAGACGCTCTCGTCAGGTGTATGTGAAGGCGGTCATAATGCCCGACCTGCTTTATGGCTCCTGCTGTTTTTCAGCCGCAATGCGAGAGGGTCAACTGAAACGACTGCAAACCACGCAAAACAGAGCCATCCGCTGTATCGATGGCAACCCGCCCCGGACAGCCATGCAGCCGCTGCTCACTGCTCACTCCCTGTACCGTGTCAGCGAGCTCTACAGGCAGAAAATATTGATCACCATCTGGCGGTGCATCCACGCCCGCACCAGCCCTGTGCTCGCCCAGCTTCTGACCCCGGCACAAGGCACCCTTACCCGCCATCAGCAGTCAAATGGCCTACTAAGCCAGGCAAACCGTAGCCGCCGCGGTCAGCGGAGATTTTCTGTTGCTGGTGCTCTGCTGTGGCACGCTCTCCCTGGTGAGGTCCGCACAATTACCCGGCTACCTGAGTTTAAGCATGCATGTGTACCATACGCCTGTAGGGAGTAGTTCGAGTTGCTGCTGATTGCTCTGCTCTCCCTCCCCGTGCAGTTCAGTAACCCGCACGTAGTATCACAGATACATCGTATTCTCTCTCTCCCCCCGTTTACCCGCAGTTATTAGTATCCTATTCTCTTACTTTGTGCTTCCATAGCTTTTACTATGTTCTTCCATAGCCACTTCTAGGCTAAGCCTTCGCCGTCATTTTATTGGGTCGTCATCCCGTTTGAATGTGCGAAGTGAAATAAAAACCAACCAACCAACCAACAGACCACCAGCACTGATCAGGTGCATTGTGCGAAATTGTGTAGCCTAAATACTAGAACTGTGGTACAATCTTGTAGATATGCTCCTACCTCCGAAAGGATGCCAAATTATGCTCCTAATTTTCAACCACCAAATTATGCCAATAATTATGCCGGCATAATCCGCCGGTGCCTACTTATTGGCGCGAGTCGCCATCGTGAGAATAAAGAAGAAGAAGAATAAAGGCAGGATGGCAAGTGTACTCATGTACTGCATATACTGGTGCATTTTGCAATACACGTTTCGAATTAATTGTGCACATTCAATTATAGGTATAGCGGTCGACGTGATGTTTACGGTAGAACAATCACGCACTATTCAACGTAATATGGCTACATGTACATGTGTATAATAGCTTGTTGTCAACGGTTCATACCGCAATCCACTGGCACTGGAAATGGCACTGGCGATTAGCCGATTACATTGGCAATGGCCAGCTAGAGTTGGTCAGTATGGGGTACTGGGAACAGAAATATCATTACAAAGTTTTCTATTTTCTTATTTTGTTTCTGTTTCCAGTGTCTGGTGCGCATGAGCAGTGATGATACCGAGACCCTTGGTCGGTTTACCTGCTCTTGCCCCGCCTCCACTGCTTCGGCAGCCATCACTATCTATATCTGTGCGTTTGTGCCGGCGTTTCCACCATGATGGTTTGTGGCTACTAGTATCTTGTAAAAAAGAAAAAAAACAGAAATTCATTGCCAGGCCGGTTGCGAATTCAATCAGCTAGACCGGTATGGCTGGACCGCCGTTAGACTGCTAACTGGTGAAGAGAAACATGACATGCGCATCGTCCGAGAGAGATGGCCAGTTAATCTATCCAATCACTGAGTGGTTGCCCTGACAGGGTGGCTCACTTGTGCGGACTTTGTCCTTGTCTTTTGCGGCGATCTCGTGTCCTGCGTTCCAAGGTTGATATGGAGATTCCCAGGCACACGCGCTGCTGGCAAGATTCACGGAGTCGTTTCGTTCCACGTCTTCTAGCCACATGGCGGCACTGCCCAGCTTTCTAATTTTCCTGCGTCTATACTTGATCAGATAGTAGACTTTGTTCAGTGTGAGTAGAATGCACACGCCTGCTGTTATTAGACACAATCCCACCAAGCTGGAAACCTGCAGCTTCCTCTTGCTGTTATTCACGACCTCCAGCTTAGAGCAGTTGCTCTTCAGCTCCACGTGGATGGCCGTCCGGATCCAATTTTCCACAATGTGGCGATGCAGGCCCTCGTCAATGACGCCTTGCAGTGCGAAGTCATGTGGATAGATAAAGCCAAACTGTTGAAATGCCTGCATGCACAGAAACAGGAAAGGCAGGATGATGGCACCTTCCTACCGCCAGATGATTAATTGAAGCATGTGACTGTTTTCATGCCTGCGAGCTGGTATACGTCGCCCCCGCCCCCCCCCCCCCCCCAATGTATAGTACACAAGGCAGAACACCAGAGACCAACAGCTTTCTCGTTGCTCCGAGTTTCGTGTTCACCCCCCCCCCCCCCCCCCTCCTCCCCCTGTTAGGGTATTGAGCACTCTTTGCAGCAAGGATTTCAGACACTTTGCCAATCAATCATGTAGTACCCACCCGTAGCAGTTTACCTGTAAAAGAGGCTTATCTACTATGTATTGTAGTCAGGATAGGCTCGAAATTACGTCTACTCAATGCTATTGTTTTATCCATATTCCTTTATGCTTGCCAGTCTTGGCTGCAATTGTGAAAAAGATCGAGGCTTTCGAAATGAGAAGCTATCGACGCCTTCTCAGGATTCCGTTCGCTGATCACCGGACGAATGTGTCTGTTAGAGAGGAAATAAATAGTATTCACAAACAAGTCCCACTTATTGTTTCTGTTCGTAAAAGGAAATTGCAATATTTTGGTCATGTTGTTCATTCCGGCTGTTTGTCATTGACTATTCTTCAGGGTTGTGTTGCTGGAGGTCGTGGCCGAGGCAGGCCCAGAATGTCATGGCTTGATAATATTATTTCATGGACTGCACTTGACGTGCAGTCCTTGCTCGTGGCTGCACGCGATCGATTTTTATGGCGCTCGCTTGTTCGTTCTTGCTCTGTGACGCCCCGACGGCCTTAGGGCTATGGGCTTGTGATGATGATGATGATGATGATGATGATTGTAGTGGTGGATGTAGCATACATGTATGATGGAGGGTGAACTGAGAAGCGTGCCGACTTTCACACTACCGGTATGCTAGTCGACTGCAAATGTTCAAAGGACCGTAATCAAAAGGTAAAACAGAAAGGTTCTAGGCTGTTTAAAATAGAGTGCTCCACAAACTTGGACAGAGCTCTTGACAACAATAAGAGGATGAAGATTGCGTTATAACTGCGTGAGGGTTATAACTGCGAGTTTCACGCACATGGCATCATGTCATCATCTCAGAACCTGTTGTCGGATCGCCTCGTGCATGAAACTAGGAGTTGCGACCCAATTTTCATCCTCTTCTTGTAATCAAAAGGTATTCAGCTCTAGAGCTGGCTTTAAGACTTACCCTAACTTCCTTCGTGATAATATCACAATTGTTTGCCGCGATAGCCTTGGCGAGCAGACCAGATGAGAAGAACATATCAGTCTTCTTGCTTCTCAAACTCTCGATCACTTTGTCCTGCGAGAAGTTCGCGTAGGGTACCAGTGAAGGGTTGGTGGCACCCAGTAGATCGGAGATGAATATTCCTGAGTCAGTCCCTGGAACGTAGCCCACCTTCTTTCCGCTGAAGTCCGCAGGCGAGCTCGCAGATTTGTATCCGTTGTCGGTGTGCTCGCTATCCTGAAGGATGTTGGTCGAGCCGGCGGTGTACAGTGCGACAATGACACAACACATGAACTGCAGGCACAGGATGAATATACGCGCAAAGGCTACTTGAGAGTTGTGCTCCGGGAAGCCCAGGAAGGTGGTGAACGACATGAAGATGGCATCGGGTACGATATGACCGCGCCGTTCCGTTGCCAGGCCTTTCTTGTCGAGTATGGCCAGCACACCTGCAGCCACGATCAGAGTGATAAGCACACCTAGCCACACACCCAGGCTGAGTGGCCTGAATGCTTCCCACATCTGTATAGTGGTGACAAGCTCAGGACGCCGGTAGCTGATTCTCAGCTGTGACTGGAAGATAGTCTCCGAGAGTAGACATTTGATGGACGACCCCTTCCGCTTCTTGGACATGCCGCCAAGAATGACGTCCCAGTGCCTGTCGCTGCGATGGGCCAGGCAGTCTTTTCGTAGCAGCGTGGTGAGACTCTCGCCCTTTCCGATATCCGACCACATAGTTAGTGTATAGTTGATACCATACCAACTGGTGATGTTCTTCCAAACTGACACCAGCGGTCCGCTCAGGTCCTCCAAACCCTTCACTACCTGAACACCAGGCTTTGGATAAATGAAAGGCTTGTACGGATAAACGAGAACTCTGACTTCCTCCTGGTCAATGGAGTGATCCAGTGGAAATCGTCCATGCCACACATGCCGAAGCGTATCCCCAAATAGGCTCTTGTTGTTGGGAACTAAACTTTCGTTAAATCCAGATAGTGTGAAGTTTTCCTGTGACCAGCGGCCAATGGGTCGCAGAACAGCCTGGTTAGTTGACACGAACACATCGTAGTGGACTGCGGAGCGATCAACAATCGGTGTGTTTGCACCCGTCAGGAACTGTGCGAAGATCTCCGATGTTAGATTCTTCCCTGCTGGCAATGCCGCCAGCTGGGTCGTGGACGAGCCCGTTGAAAGGTTCACGCCACGGTAGTAGGACTCTGGTGACGTCACAGCCGGTGGAAGCAACCTATCCAGACCGGACCAGGTTTGCAAGGCGTTGCCAATGGCCAAAGTTGCATCGTAGGCGTATGCAGACTGGAGGTCCATGCGGTCGCATTGGCTTGAACAGTTGCTACTGTTGCTAGGACTACTGTGATGAGCAGTGCCTGTGCAATTGCCTTCCTTGCCGTGTAGTTGTTCGGCCAGATAGCAGAGTCGGCCCGGAGGAACGTAGGGCCGTACGACAATTGCGCCATCAAACACTGGCCACATTTGGGTCGGGTACTGGCAGGGCGACACTAACATGTCCAGGAACACCCAGGCGTAGTTATTCTCCACCCCAATAATGCCTATCTCTTGCGCATAATCTAGTATGAGCGGCAGAAGGGTGTGCGAAACGCGCACCACGATGATGCGGATATCAAGCCACTTTATCTCTCTCATCTGTTCCTTGGTCTTCTCGGAAAGATTTGTTCCAATGGCGACGGGATAGACGACAGGTTTTATGGAAATGTCATGGAACGAGATTTGCTCCAGGTTATTGCTGAACGTCTCCCCGGCTGCGGTGTCCGAGTTGATGGCGTACAGCAGCGATACCTTTTTCCAGCGCAGGTCGTAGAGGATATCTTTCGTAGCCACGTACAACCACGTATCGTTCATGCTGGCCCTGAGAAGGGTGGGATACGCCGCACTTCGAGATCGCAAGACGTGATTAGTGTCCGTTGTCACGACTGGCGTAGTGACAGCAGCAGCCATTGGACCGACAACACGCACCACAGCGTCGGACTGGATGGCCAGAAACGAGACGACTTTGCGCGACTGCAGTGCGTCGAGAGTGCCGAACAGGATAGATTGCGAATTGTAGTCCGAAAGCTCTCGAAACAGTTCGTCCGTGTCTGACGGCACACTGTGGTTTTCGTTGATTGGCCAGGAGAGTCTCTCAATGCCCACCGTCTCCATGTCCAGTCGCCAGCGTGCTCCAGTGGACTGGAGGCTGGTATTTATCTGACGAATGCCCATCGCTATCGTATCATGCACCTGCGTCAACCAGGGAATGTCGATCCGCCGTGCCTTTGGCAAAACCACGGCTAGGTAGAGTGTGGTGATGTTTTGCGCGGACTCTCCGACCGTCGCGTTCACGCCGAGACGGTCACTCCTGCGGGTTCTGCGATGAAGTCGCCTACCTTGTAAGCTGGTCGTGTCTGCATGTAGCGAGGCCAACCCATCCCGCCGGTCACCACCCACACCGGGAAGGGTCTGTTCAGGCATTCCGCTCACGTCACCAAGCAGAGCACACGCGGTGACGAAGGCAATGCCACGAATAAGCACCTTCCCAGGACACCGCTTGCGTGGAGAAAGCATTGTCGTATCATAGAAGACGTTATGGCCGTGTGCAGCTGGAAGGAACAGCTGGCTAGAAGGAACATCAAGTCTATTCGAACAGAGAGAGAGAGAGAGAAGGCACCGAGACAAATGACAAGATTCGAGGATGCACGTTATGGAATGAACCCTGAACAGTTCTGTCAGAGAACTAAACATGCGCCGTATTATTATCTATTTTTGATCCAGTATCTACGGCTGTCCTGCCTCGGCGGTACGTCTCCCACTGCAGCGGCCAATCTGGATATCAGTATGCAAGGTATCCAAAGTGTACAGTATGCGAGGCGCAGAAAAAGCTGGCAGATGGTAACAAGCTTTATCCCCGTCCTGTATAACATGGTATAAGGGCGTGTGCCAGTGGTGTGTCGGTTGATCAGAAGGCCATGGCATGAGGCATCAACAGCATCACTGTTAATGTATCGGAAATTACAATTTTGCCAGCTTGCCTATCGTAGCGTGGTCATCATGCAAAGTGCAGAGACTACAATTGTAGAAGGGAGCGCTCCGGTGCATGCTCCATCCGCCCCACTCCAAGCACACAGCGCTGACCCTGTGCCACTGGTTACCCAGCTGGTTTCCAGCAGTGTTGTGGTACTGCTTAGTGCTACTACTAGTGCTGGGCAACAGGAAACGCACGTACCGTGACTGTTTACCTGAATGTACAAACATTATCAATGTGCATTGTAGATAGCCCTTGGCGGACTATGCCGGCATAATATTTGGCATAATCTTGGGATTTCGTCAAAAAATTATGCTCCGGCATAATATACGGATTTCCAATGTGTAAGGTCGGCATAATCTTTCGGTTTAGACAAAAATTATGCTTAGGACATGGCCGTGTGTGCTACTGTATGCGTGGTTTCTCAATCCTCTATGCACAGCGTGAATACATAGTGGAACCGAGCATAATTCAGCATAATTCAGCATATTTGTTGGCATAATTGTGGCATAATCAAAAGCATAATTTGACGGTAGGCCGAGCATAGTCCGCCAATGGCTAATCGTAGAACAAACGAATGAAGAATTACGGTACTGATGTTCAAGGAAAGAATAACCTTTGTGCATGTAAAAAGGAAAGAATTACATGTATGTTGAACAATAAGAACAGTGAAGATGCTTAGAATAAAGAAAGGTAAAGGACAAAATGTTACGAGTTATGACAAACTGTCCACCAACGTAACCAGATCTTATACAGCCAGCAGTTTGTCATAACTCGTAACATTTTGTCCTTTGAACAAACGGCGAGGAGACAACAATTTGATAACCGCAATCAGTAATACAAGCTGGATCGACATTTGTGTACACTGTATTCATGTATTGTAAAACTGTGGAGACAATGTGCAATAAAACGATGAAAATGTGAAGAAATTGTGTAGAGAAAAACGGGATTCAAACAAGAATGTTAGTGTTGTGCGTAGGTTTCGTGGTAGCAAGTCTTCAGTGTACAATCATCTGTTGGCTAGTCCTGATTGTTGCAATTCGTATTCCGACTCTTCATTCACTGTATTGTGCCGTGGTCGTCATGGTTATGGACTACAGTTAAAAGTTTTGGAAGCCATCTGTCAGCGTCTGTATAAGCCTAATTTGTGTGTACAGAAAGATGTATAATTGGGTTGAAATTGTTCAAGAAAAGTGTCATGTTTGGTGCGGCCAAGCCTGGCCGTTAATGTTCTAGGTGTAATGTACTGCTGTTATTTGTTATCACTTTGTCCTTCCTTCTTTCTTTCTCTTCTTTGTTCACTTTTCAGTTGCAAGTTTAGTGTTAGTACACACATTCGTTATTGCTCTCGCTTTCATTGTTAAAATTCACACTTGTAAATTTCACTGCTGTTGTTCTTAGTGTTATTTCTCTAACTTAGATTTTCTATAATAGTTCAATTTTGTTTTCAGTGTCCTTTAGTACAACGAAGATTCCTGATGAGTGTTGTACGAAAACTTGTTTGAATCCCTTTTTTCTCTACACAATTTCTTCACATTTTCATCGTTTTATTGCACATTGTCTCCACAGTTTTACAATACATGAATACAGTGTACACAAATGTCGATCCAGCTTGTATTACTGATTGCGGTTATCAAATTTTGTCCTTTACCTTTCTTTATCATAACTATGTTGGCTCACAATCCGAGTTCAAAAATGCTTAGAATAAGTTTTCGTTTTCAAGTTTTTCTTTAATTCCACGATGGCGAGACACCAATAAGGAAGATTGATACAATCATGTACATTTGTAGGTGTGATCGAACTGATACTAGCCAGAAACACTACAATCATGTAGTTGGAAAGGAAATGAACACTGGATCAAGAAAAACAAGCGCGGGGGTCAATATCAGGGGTGATCGAGATGACATTTTTTTACTACAAATAAAAGCACTGGCCAGCAACATAAAAGGGGAGGTATACAAAATAATTGGACAAGCGAACATTGACAACACAGAGGAGCCTGGCATGCGTGCCGATGAGGTAGGTCAACCTCCCCCGACCTAGTGGCCTCGGGTTCAACAGTTGGTCTACGCATCAGGAAGGGGAAATGGACAGAGAAAGGGAGAATGAGCATGAGGAGATTCCACATACAATGTAAATGTACATGTACATGACATTTGTACAATCATGTACATGTCGATTCAGTTGGTCCACTTGATTGCGCTCCTTTAATTAATTTTAATTTGTAGAATGTGTAGTGGAGAGAATGCTGTGGGCGGTTTTCGCTGTCATGTGCCAGATGAAATGGCTTCAGTGGAATCAAAAAAGCCTACATAATTGACATTTGTATGATTTACAAACGAATAATTGTATGATTTAGTGGTCTTTGTGGTTCAAGCAGCAGCAGTGTCATGTACATGCACTAGCCATTCCCAAAGATTAGGGGTATGCGGATAATGCTCGAAAAGGTGGCAGATTCTGCTCGAAAAGCAGTGAAATTGGCAGAACCATACAAACCTTATGGCGGACAATTCCTCGAATTCTGCTCCATTTCTTTATCCACATACCAAACATGCATGAAACTTACCAGGAAAAGTACCGAATTCTGCCAATTTTTCTGCCGGCATTATCCGCATATGCCTACCAAAGATGCTCGCCACTTTTTTTCGCAACTTTACATTGTTTGGAAGAAATCGCACAAGAACTGGCTCATTTTGAGTTGCGATATTCAACTGAGCAACTTTTGAGCTTTCCTGAAAATATGGATGCAATTTCAGCTACATGTACATGTACTTTCACTTGTTTTGGCATGGTTGCGAAAAGCATAAGTTGCGAAATATTTTGGCATCTTGGGAAAGGGCAACCGAGGATACCTGATAACGGCTGATTCACTCGCATTTTCTGCTACATGTACTGTATCAGTGTGAAAAAGAACTTTGAAGAAGACGAGTTCGAGCATTCAATAATGTATTTCCATGATTTCTACCCTGCTTTTCATTGAAAACACTATCTGCATGACCTCCGAACCCTCTGCCATGCAGACCACCAGCACTGATCAGGTGCATTGTACACAATTGTGTAGCCTACATACTAGAACTGTGATACAGTCATGTACATGTACAGTACGTAGCTACAGTATGCTCCTACCTCCGAAAGGATGCCAAATTATGCTCCAAATTTTCAGCCACCAAAAAATTGCAAAATAAGTACATGTATGTCAATAATTATGCCAGCATAATCCGCCGGTGCCTAGCCAGTGCCACAGTGCAGGTTGTTGAATTTTTTTAAAGTGGCAACACAAACAGGATATGGCACCTCCTTTAAATTCTAATCATTATTTTAGACATGTCACTTGTCAGCTACATTGTAGTAGTAGTAGTAGAATTTATTATTTTACTAGGGAACTCCCAACAGGCGTTGCCTTTTTACTGGGAACCCTAGTTGTACATGTACATTGCACATGTAATAAATGTAGTAATATGGAGGGGAGGAGAAAAATCAATCGTGGAAGAAATCGCCAAAGGTAACTGAATATGTCACAGATTGTTGTCAGATTGTCAGACACTGAGATACAGTGGCGGAAAAACCTGTTGAAAAGCGAATACGTGTACATGTACATGTACATGGAGTGTAAATAACCGATGAGGTGTTGAAGAATTGCATTTCCTAACATCTTTGCAGAATAAGAATATGATAAGATTTGAAATCATTTGAAAAGATAAAATCGTGCACGGAAATGGAGAGGATGGACTACATGTATACAATCATGTACATGTACATGTACATGATTGTACATACATACATGTACATGTATGTATTATTATAACCTAATACTGGTTCAAAACCAGTATTAGATACATGTACATGTAAACCTTTTTCGCGCTTCACTCACTTTGCGCTCTTTTTTAGCCACCTGCCTGGGAATAAATTTGGACCCAGATGATGTACAGGTTATCAGTTGTCTGAGGTTTGCCTTAGCTTTGCTATGTGCATGAAACGCAACGTTACAACAATGACCTAGTCGGCTGTCTCTGTTCTCTTCTGCCTTTGTGGTAATGCTCCATCCTTGTGGTGTTGAGCACTCTAGGCAATCTGGGAACTCTCGTTATTGTAAACCTTGTTATGTAGTTCACGCATATTGTTAGATTGACAGCATGAAACAAGATGGAGGACACTGTGTTCGGAAACAGCGACCTAACCTTACTACAACCTTCCGCGGTTGGCAGAGCGGCAGAGCCCAGGTCCCTGCGGACCATTTGAACCATATGGGTGTTGAACCCGGTTCTGACCCTCATTATGCTAGGGGGATTGGAGACTACTCCTTGCGTCCATCGTGTATTCTTTGATCGCTCCTTGATGTCGTCCTGGTAGTCCTGTAGCTACTTAAACCTCAACTTGTATAAAAACTTCTTTTCTTCCAACTTCTGCCCATGGCGTCCTTCTCTCAGCTCGTCATCTGTCAACAGTTACTGCCACCACCACGACACTGTCGCGAGAAGGTGCTCTCTATAGACGGGGTTGCCGGGTGATGTCCCGATGCGGCCATGGGTAGACCTTCACCACGTCGGAACAACCCGGCGGCCCGGCTACACGTTGGTTACGTCAACTACTTCTGTCTGTAAAGTACTTAGTTGTTGATTTGGTTGTGTAGATTGGTATTGGTGAAGACGATTTGAATGTTCAAAACACCTGAGTAATTGCAAGTGCGTCATTGTACATTGTACATGTACAGCACATGTCCATGTCATCAAGAGTACTCTTGATGACATTGTACACAATCTAACAGTTACATGTACATGTACATGTAGATCTACATGTACATGTACATGTACATGTAGATCTACATGTACATGTACAGGTAGGTGAACATGTACTAGGTGTTGTATACTGTAAAACTTAAAAGACATTATTCTAACCAGGCGCATACAGTCATGTATAACGATTTCCCAAAATTGACTAGTTTACGTGTACCAAAGGTAACGATTTTCATTCATTCTCAACGCTCAATAGGACAGTATATGTATCGATTTCTGTATCACTATTTCTTCTATTTTAACGACAGATGTCTCGTTAGAGTTAGCACTTCGTTATGTATTATGACTTTTACAGTAATCACTGTCCGGCCCGGCGTGTATTTACCGCCATATTGCCAGGTGCGTATTTACCACCATAATTATGAATCAAATACTCGAGTTTCGCGGCTTTCGCCAAACAAAAAAAAAACAAAAAAAAACAAACAAACATGAAGGTGAACAGACACACGGTGACCTACACTGGCTACAGTACTTAGAATACTTCGACGCTTTCCAGAGAGCACAGAAATGGGCGTGACAAGGTTCACAGCGCATCATTATTATTCTTTTATTCCACGATGGCGTGACGCCAATAAGGATGATTAATAAGTGCGATAGAACTGGTACTAGCCAGAAACAGCTAGATGGAAATTAACCGGGAGGCAAGATTAAGAAGCAATGGATCATGAAAAACAAGCGGGGGCAATAACGTTAGCAGGGGTGATCGAGATAGTACACGTTCGAGATATCAGAAACCAGGGGGATGCGCGGAGCAAGAACAGGTTCTGCTCAAAAGAAGACTGGATGCATTGTTTCGGAAAGAATTTCTACGAGGTTGGGTTGTGATGTCGATAGGGAGTGAGTTGTAGAGGGCGAGGGCACTGTTGATGGGGGAATCTCGGTGCCTGTTCGCGTGTGCGTGTTCGATGCCTGGAGTAGGTCCTTGTCTGTCTCATGGTACACTGAGTCTGTAGCTTGTTCCAGAGAATGTCACCAATGAATCGTACGTACTAGTACAATGTACATGTACCTCTACCACCAAAACTGGGCAAAAGGATCGGGCCAGAAGGGTGTCATGGTAGACCTACATGTACATGTAGATGGTCAGCTGACCTGGGAGCCTCACGTCAACCACACAATCCAGCAGGTGCGAAAGTCAGTAGGTGCGCTGTGGCGGAGTATTAAAAAGAGCCGCTGAATAGGCCTTTCCGGATTATGTGTTTGCATATTTTTGCATTTTGGGGGTCAAAATGCATTTTGGGGGTCAAAATGCATTTTGTCCATTTTGACCCACTTTGGGCCAGGGAGTCGTAAAATACCGGTATTTTACGACTCCCTGCAAGCGATAGGTACCTCACGATCACCATGAATGATCACCATGGTGCCAAATGTCACGCGACTAGTTGTCGCCATTTTGTTACCATGGCAACGGTGGCATTTTTTTGTGCGTTTTGGGTAAATTTTTGCATTTTCTTTAGAAAAAATTTGATTTATAGGGGTTTTTCAAAACACTTTCCATTTCCATTTTAGACCAAGAAAAAACGCATAATCCGGAAAAGCCTACCGCTGAAGCCTCACCCTGGCGTCAAGATCCTGTTTTACAGGTCGATGATCCAGGGTAGGTTGTCGTACGCTTCCAACGCGTTTTATTCCAACGCGTTTTATTCGTCACTAGCAATTGGCAACATGGAGACCCAGACACGGCTAGCGAAGTGCAGTGCTATCCGCGGCGGCTTCTTCGGTCTGCCAGACTGCCAGTCTGCCACCGTGGTCGCGCACCAGCCCAATCTTTCAAGAGCTCCGCTCACCACCCTGGAGGGCATGTCGGTCCTGCCGGTCGAGCGACCATACTATACAGTTCATCGGCGCAGTCCTGTGGCACCAGCTCCCGCCTGATTTCCGTTCCGAGCCCAGCCACCGGTGACCTTCAGTTCTGTGCCCTGCTAAAAGCGCATCATGGCCCCGTTTAAATGCTCTTCGGCGAGTGTGTTTCTGTGGTATAGCGGGTAGGCCTAAAGAATAGGAAACGTGTTTCGCAATATTGCATGATGCTATTTTTTTAATAGAATTCCCATTCCGTTTTGCTTTAGTGTAGCCCTGAGGTCGACTCACTTATTTATTTTCTACCCTTCCTCTCTCCGGTTTTCTGCCTTCCTCCCCCCCCCCCCCCCCCCCTCTCTCTCTCTCTCATTCCCTCTGTCGTCCACATGTATCAAAGGAGGCGAAACCGCCTGTTGGGGGTTAAAATAAACTTACTTCTACAACAACAAGGGTGCCTGCTATGCATGTACTGAGTCTGTAGTACTACATCAGTACAATCATGTATTATACAGTGTACAGTACTAGTAGTACAATGTCATGTAGGTTCTGGTCAGCTCCACGGGTGTAGTGTGATCACTCTGTGTTCCGACGGTAGATCATGGTAGATCTCCGTGACAGACATACATTTGTACACGTACAGGCTATCCGACACTGTGAGTCTGTCTTATACTACAGGGCTCCTAGAAAGACTTAGTACTACTAGTAGTACATAGTTGCAATGTCAAGATTGGTTCTGTTGTCAACCAATGTTTCATGACCAGACATTAGACACCACTCGTAAGCCCACATGTTCATTGTGTGTGCAAGTGTCCAAGGTTGAGTGCGGAGTCAGTCATTTCGCATCCGCAAGGCGCAACGAAAGATCGGTCTTGGTTGCACGAAACCTCGCCAGTGGCAGCGGGCAGTGCAGTGGCAGCCGTTCCTCCCCTACGATGTCACTCACTACAGACTCAGTACGCGTAGTTTATTCTTCCCTTTCCTGCACGGACTCGATCGTGTATCGATTATCATGCACTGGCAATGACTACATGTGTGTGCATCATCTCCACATGCACAGTCATCATGGTCATGTACTAGCACAGTACTAGTACAGTAGTAGTACTAGAGTACATGTACGTGCACAATCCGAAAATTCCTTCACGTTCTGTTTGCCCGTAAAAGAGGCTTTTGCAGTTCCGCACACAATCATTAGGGTATTACAACAATGTCATTCAGCAGTCACCGCTAGTAATAGTAGTAGTATAGCCAGGGTGCTGGCAATCTTTATTACAGTTATGAAACTTTGAAAGAGCCATGGGCATGGTGCATGGTCCATGGATTTACTGTCTAATGTCATAGTAATGATTCCTTCCCTAACGTTTTCGTAACCTTTTCATCATTAGACCTAGGACAGTCAACGAAAAAGACGTGGCCCACAGACATCATGGATATTATAGTGCAGGGCCTGTCTTCGTACCGATCAGACAAGAGGAGGCGTACGTTTACGACTTTACAGGTAGGCGTCACATTACAATAGGAATGTCGTGAACCTTTCACCTATGATGATCAACCGGAATGATATCTGATAGTAATACCTCAGTCCTTGCGTTCAGGCATACCTACACTCTACAGCTAGTCGTATCAGCTCATCGTGCCATTTACAGTTTTAGTTTTATATTTGGGAGGCGAGGTCTGCAGATCGATACCTCCTACTAGTAGTACCTACCTACTCAGTAGCAGGTGCAACATTCGTTGACGTGATCTGTGTCAAAGACAATCTGCTCGCTTTGCCACACGTGCAGTGCTGGCACGTAGTAGTCGGAGCGAACAGTCCCGCGGACAAAGGCTGATAGTGATACGTTTACGTTATGTGACCGTGCGCAAGCAGCAAAGCGCGTCGCGGCAGTTGAAAGTCACGCACGCACGATCATTTCCTTACTACATGTAGCGCTGCATCCTGGATTGAAATTTGAAGAAGTGAAGTCACTCTCAGGGATCTGCAAGACTTTCTCAGTCTAACAAATTTAGTCACGTACCGTAGGCGTAGTGCAGTTGCGATATTTTGTTGTTCAGTTTCCGTCATTTTCGACTTTCCACTCCGAACATTAACGTAACGGGCATCGATGCCCAATAAGTCAGTGAGTGACCTGCTGCTATCGCCCGCGGCCAAGACAATAATCTAGAAACTAACCAGTTTGATTTCGTCGAGCACCGCGTGCAGGGCCAATTTCTAGGATGAACGGCATCGCTCTAGGCATCTGCCTCCTCGGATGAACAGGTGTGTAGATCTACTGTTGGCGGTAAATAATGTGTTTGAGCGGTATGTGACGGATCGCGGGGTGTATCTTTTGAATTACGGTACTTCAACAACCCGGTCGATGAAGCATGACTGAACATTGGAGCAGAAGATACTTCGATTTGCGTACGCTACACGAGCGGTCATGTTCCTAACACGCTATCGAGTAGGACTCGGGTGAAGAGGGCACTAGTAGTAGTAGTAGTGAGCTGTTCTTCTCTTGCAACTCATTACTGATTTTGCCCAGAGAAATGATATCAGTAGCCATTGAGTATGATCTAAAGTCTAGGAGCATCAAGCCTGGACATGCATTGGCAGCCTCTCGTTCTGACAGGAGATTCAAGGGCTATCCGTTACGTTAGTGCTAGGGATTAGATCGATTTCTTGTCCATTGCATCCCTCGCCTTTGTAACGACGTAAGCGGTAATCATGGTAATGCTGGAGAGCATTGGGAGTGCTGTTGTGAATGGTTGAAGTGCCCAAATCGTTGACTCGTCGTAGTCGTTCCTGATGAACCACTTACCAGGTACCGGTACCTCCACTACATGTGACAGACTCAGTACCTATGCAGGAAATAGTACGAGTAGATTCTACGTAACACTATTATTAATATTATGCGTTTGCAGTTGCATGCTGCTGTACACATGGTACATGACTTGTATTTCTTCAAATAATTGTCTTGCCTCTTGACGGTCTTGTGCCTTTGCCTTTGGGCCAAGCTTCACTAGCTCTGAGCTGTGTCTGTTCATGTGGTAGATCTACTGTCGTGGACATGGAAATCCAGTCGATTGACCGGGGCCGGCGCCCTCAGCGCGTACAGAACAGCGCTTGATCCAATCGATGCGATCAGCGGGCTGCAGCATGTGTGCACTGCTTACCCACGGCTGCATGGCCAGCGCCCTGGGGCCGCTAGACGTGCGACCTGATTTCCATGTCCACGACAGTACGAATCTACGATGTACATGAGATTGTACGGGCACCCTAACACTAGTAACACTGTGCCTGTGTGAGGGTCACTGCATGCATTGTGTGTGACACCAGCGCCCATGGCCTGGGGTCATGCCCATGCCCAGGCATGCAGTGGCTGGCCAGCAGCAGATGTTTGTAGCAGTATACCAGTACTAGTAGTGCTGCATATGCAGCCATTCATCATTATTCATTGTGCGTGGTGCACATGTCACACATGTCACACATGTATCATGTTTGTGGCTTTACAATGTACTGGATCTGCATCATAACTACTATACTATACTGATGGCCATGATTATGGTGATACATGTCATAATAAAAAATTACCAGTATCAGTACTATAATAGAACTGATGGTGGACATGTTGTCTGCATGCTGTGTGAGGGATCCAAATCTAGTGAATCAACAATAATTACTATTTTCTTGCAAACAGTCAAGGAAGCACTCCCAATCCTAGGAAGTATTTATTGCATGAAACCAAACTATTCATGATTCATGCATATCCCACACAGTACAGCACACAGTACAGCATACAGTACAGCACACAGTTCAATGATCAGGCATTGGATCCATGGAGCACTCTTACTAGTCTTAGTGCACAGATTAAGATTTGCAATGGGTCTGGTTTTACATGTAGATCCAATGGATACACGTGCACAGTAAGATGCACTGTGTGCTGGAAGCTGTTGTCTTTGATGCAGATCGTAAAGCAGTGGCTTGTGAATCAAGCCCTGCCTGCTTCTAATCACGACAGGTGTCATCCTTTACCATGGCATTTTGGAGGGGGCGGGGGCTCTGATGTCATAGTTCCTGGCCAACATGCAGATGCATGGAGCATGCTTTGCAAGCCCTACTTCTGATCACGACAGTTTCCATCCATCATCATGAAACGGGGGGGGGGGGATCTCACAGTTCCTGGCCAACCACTACATTTGCATGGAGCAGGTTCCCCTGCTTGGCCATCCATTGCTTCACAGTGCTCTATACAGTGCAGATGCCATTCTGCACTGATCAGTCGTAGACCGGCGGGTTTGAGAGGTTGTGTGCATCCTCTACTGAACTGACACCGCCTTGTGAAATGTAAGAACGTAGACAGCACCATAGCCAGGCATAGGCCCCGGAACACCGTCACGTTATCCATACCAATGTACTTGTGTATTGGTTTGCGCTGTGTGGCTGCGTTTATTGTCGTTTTGCACATAGGTACTGATCCAACTTCTCTAGGCTAGCTACCATCCATGGTTCAGCTTACCTGAGTGTGCCAGTAATGGTGTCGACATCGACCGTAGCCCTGGCTGATGGCAGTCGACGGAGTGGATAGAATGCGGCGACGTTTTGGCCGTGCTGGTGTGCTGCGGTCGGCTCTGTGCGTTCTGGTCTGGACAGTACTGACTTCGTCATGCATCGATGCTTACATGCTGGACACCAACTCAGACTGTCTGTCATCAGAGTCCGGCAGTGCGCTGTATGCCTGGCTCAACACCAGCAAGCCACTGTCTTGTTTTCGCTGGCAACGGCCCAACAGAACGCAGCACGTGGCTGGTAGTGTAGTTATCGGGGCTTTGATTCCGTTGTACAGAACGCCTGCCCAAAGTGACAACTCAATCGTCCCCAGCTTGCCGTGTTCAGTATCAACAGGTCAAATTGGAATCCAGCTGGTCGAGTCTCTCATTCAGTCTGTGGAAGAGGAGCTGGTACAGAATGCATTGGCTGATCGGCTGGTTAGTGCAGTGGAGATTCGAGACACTTGTGTGTCGATGAGTTACTGCGCTAAGCAGGCATCGCACTTTGTCAGTCGCACACCGCATGCCAAGCGGGTGTGTTCCGCGAACGACTCGGTTGCTGCTCGAACGTTGCCACCATCATCGCTGACACCGGGGACGAGTGGTTCGCAGCTGTGCGCAGGTGCTCAGAGTCGAGTTCCCATTGTCATTGGCCCTTCGGACACTACGGTGTTGAAGATCAGTAGTGATGAGCTCAGTGCAAACCATCTACCGCATATCGGATACTGGGAATCATCAGAGAATGACAGGGACACAACAACTGACCCGTACCTCTTCAGGACAGTACCGTCTAGCAGGTATCAGGCCAGGGCCTTGGTAGAGCTGTTAGGGCTGTACAACTGGAGTTACATCTCTGTTATTGGTAGCAGCCATGACAGTCTTGACGGTGGGCTACTGAACCTGTTTAAGCTTGCTGTAGAAGAATATAATCTCAATCCGAACGTCTCGAAGCTGTGCATCTACGATGAACAAATCTCCTCGTTTGCAGGTCCGACACAGGTAAATCGCATTGCTGAATGGAGTGCGAACCAAACAAAGTCCAATGTCACTATCCTACTTGCCGGGTCAGAATATGTCCGCGCACTGTTCTCGGCTTTGCGCTACCTGTCCAGCATGCCTTTGTACAGAGCCAAGCTAGCTAGCAGTCACCATGTCTGGATTGGCGTTAGTGATTGGATATGGAGCCTGGAAGACACTCTACCCTTATGGCCGACGGATGGCAGTCCCCTGGCTGGCCACCACACATTCATCACGTTTGTCATGAACCTACCGGGAGAGTTTCACAGCACGACCGCTGAGTTCAACAATCGTATGCAGAGCAGGTTCTCTGCATACACCGGCGTTGGGCACGCTCTGCGTCGGAATCCGTGGCTGGCTGCACTGTGGACTGCATCTAAAGCAGAATGCACCCAAGGTGACCACACCAGTCAGAACTGCTTCGCCGGACGCTTCAGCCCTTCATCCATGCTGCGGGAGATCATGAAGCCGCTGGTTCTCCCCGTGCGCTCGGGTTCTCTTACAGTTGCTGCTCGAGCGGCGGTGCGACTCGTGAATACAACCCTCGGTCAATGTTTATCAGCTGAGTGTCTGTGGCAGTTCAGTGGCTCACATCTCAGTGAAGCTCTGCTGAGCAATGTAACTCTACCATGTGAAAATGGCTCTTGCTCCCTGTTCTCTAGCAACCAGGAAGTTCCGCCTAGTTTCACCATTGCCAATTTGCAGATATTTCAAAATGAACTGTCTGTGAAGACAGTTGGCCACTGGACACACTCTTCATCGTCAGCTGATAGGTTCTCGTGGTTCGATTGCAATGGCCCGAGTCTCGATGGTATCAAGGAGCCGTGCTTCATGTGGGGCTTGGATTTTGAGAACAAAACGACCAGCTGGCACATTCCCCGCTCTGCCTGTGCCCAGCAATGCAGGCCTGGCCAGTATCGCTACTTCAATGAGAGTGACAATATCGTCTCCGCACCGTGCTGTTGGTCATGCGAGGACTGTAGTCTACGTGATATGGTCTCCTCGGAGCCGCGTGAGCCATGCACGTTGTGCAAGAAAGCCGAAGGGGAGATACCCAGCGCAGAATTCACTCACTGCGTTCTCAAGGAGCCTGTGTATCGGAAAATAAGCGAACCTGTTACAATCGTCATGGCGACGCTGGGTAGTGTGGCGGCAGTGTTGGTTCTGGTTAGTATCATCCTGTTGTTCCTGCAGCGTAAGACGACTATTGCTCACATCACTCATCACCGCTTCTCCATGATCTTGCTCGTTCTGCTGTGTATCAGCTTCCTCTGGTTACCGTTCTCTTTCGTGAAGCCGAATGAGGTATCATGCACGTTCAGATCTCTTGTGAATCCAGCTATCGTGTGGTGCACGACTGTTGCTCTGTTACTGCGTGTGTTGCACCTAGCCTATGAGAACGGCGAGCGCTGTGAGTGTAGACCGGTGCTCTATATCAGCACCGTGTGCTGTTCGTCCTTCCGACGCTTGTTCAGCACATTGGCAATCACTTGCGCTGCATGTCTTTTGCCGTACATAATCTTTCGAGTCGTACAGCCGAAGGATGTCGACATATTCGTGATCGAGGAGAATCGAATTCCGCAGAGAATTCTTCATTGCTTGCTTGAGTGGACCGACTTCCTCCAGTTTGGGATCGAGTTTGCGTTCCTGTTGTTGACGGATGTAATAGCATTCCTGTCGAGAAAACTCCGCGGAGGCTACAGTGAAGCTATGCTGCTCATGTTTTGCAGCTTTGCTCTAACTGTTGAATGGATCGTCCTCATTGTTCTGGTTTTTGTCGACCAACGCAACCGAGACTTGGGCATAGGTATCGTCATCTTTTGCCACATGGCCACCATATTTGGCTGCCTCTACGCTCCACGTATCTACATTGTGCTGTTCCGCTCACGTCGCAACGCACCGCACACTCTTAGCCGGTCAAGCGGTCTCCGATTCAACCCCACCGTCAGCTCCGCAAGCCTGAAGAAGCCAGTGCTGAAGTCTCCGACAACAGATGAGGAATCATCAGACCCACAGATCTTAGTCGACGCCTGTGATTCTCAGCCTTCATCCTCGCCCGCTATCACCAAGGAGACGTCCCTGTAATGGAATGAATACCTGTGTCTTTGGCAGTTCATCACTACACCTCATTAGCACTTGAGGCAAATTTTTGGGTTTTGCACGAGAATGCTTCATTTTTCTTGGAAATTTGTTGATTCTGATTGCCTCCAGAACAGTGAGCAGCGAACATCGCTGCTGCGACTTTGAAATATAGATGTTTGCCCTTTGCACTCGTGTAGATACATCAAGTCCATTATTGTGAAAGAAAACCCTGGCCGTGACTATCAGATCATTACCGTATCATTGTTGTTTTAGTACAGTAAATACATTATTCTACATGTATGGCCACATACTTGATGTAGTGCTTATTATTGAGTTTATGTTATCCACTTTGAGCCCATGAGCCTTGATTGCATTATGATCACTACCTTGACTGATATTATCACACAGAGATGATGAGATTATACTTATATGTTCAATCGATTATCTAATTTAGCATTGGCTGGCTGTGACAGAATTCAACGTATGGCTATGCAGAGCATAGGCTTTCACATACATGCAGAGCGTACATGTAGGCCGTGACGGCAAGTTCTGATCCACAGGGTGTTTTTGCAGTAGCAATTCTTTTGGAAGACTTTGAACTGTCCCCGGTCTGGTGATTGGGTGAATCCCCATCAATGCAGCATGATGTTACGAAGAGTACATAACGTTATGTATTGCCCTCTCTGTGATGTTACTGTACTGTAATCAGCAGGAGAGGTGCGCGCTTGGAGCTGCGCTTACCACATATTCCGGCAGAGAATCAATCGTACAAACCGTTTGTGCAACTCCCTGGTGATAACCATGATAACGCAGGTCTCTTCTGTTCTGACTTATGACTTCAGTGCTGCACTAGCACTATCATGACTACTGACTTTTTTCTTCTTTTTATTTTTTTACGAGAAACCACGGCCACGGTCCACGAACCTCGAGACAGCATACTGTTGTTGTTGTTGTTGTTGTTGTTGTTGTTGTTGTTGTTGTTGTTGTTGTTTGGCTTTATTTAAAGTGGAGTTCCAAAACAGGCCTAAACCTGATGACAATGGTCCCACTGATATTAATAAGAGAAAAGAAAAGTACTGCAGTCACATACAATACTAAGAAGGTAAAAAATACAAAACGCTACGATGTGCATTTTTGTTTCCAAGTGCTACTTTCACACCAGGGTGTTCTAATTTCCCTCCGTTTGAGTGGCAACAAATCTTTCACCTGGTTGCCCCGACGCGACGGGCTTGTTGTCATTTTCATGTGTGGCTTAGGAACAGTCACCTGGTCACCCGGTGACAGTCAGTGGTGCGCCTGTGGTCTCAGTGTCGACAGATTTTGAGCATTTCTCACTTTGTCCTTGAATGGGCAGTAGACCTATCGAGATAATTATCACCAGATCACAACTCACCGCCATAGATCTATCACCTCGAGTCTCGGAACAAAACTGCAAAATCTGTTCTCCTTCAGCCTCAGCTTCCTGTTACCGGTACATGACATTTTCTACGGAGAGAGAACAACCTGAACCAGTCGCTGTGCCATGGGTGGCTGCACGTAGGCTGCGATAGGCGATTAGCTGTCCGTATTATTATTATTATCTTCCTGGAGCAGTTTTTTTCCAAAGGTGTTTCGACGTAAACGGTAAAGGTACAGTTCATTCAACCGTTGAACGCTGAACTATTTCAGTTTGATACCAACTAACGTCACTTGACTGGAGACTTGGCTGTGGCTCACGGCTGCCGTTCAGAGCAGAGGCAAACAAGAAGCCCACCGAACCTTCGAGTTTGGCTCTACAAACCTGCAAAACAGCGGTACTTTCTGCTCAACACATTGCGTCGGGGAATTCCCTTCTCCTAACCGGAGTATCGGTCAAGGTGAGTACTACCACAGTACCAGTACCAGTAGGCAGTACTACTGTAGATCTACTTCAAATATTTTTGGTGGGAAGACCGGCTTTGCTGCATAGCATACAATGATTATGTACAGATTGCTATGAACAGTATCATTATCTAGGAAAGTACATTGTATGTAACACTGTTGTGAATGTTCTGTCCGCTAGCGTGTCAGTCATAAATGCAGACATTCTGCGCTGCCAGCCATAGCATGCAATGCATATTAGGCCATGGAATCCACGAAAAAACAGTCCACATGTACATGTATAATCAAAATATTTGGCATGCTGAGGGCATGCTGAGGCTGAAACATGGTACAGTATAGGTTCTATTTGTCAAGAATGGATTTATCTAATTCTTGGTTTGACAACTAACTTGGCTTCTACTCATGTAGCATGATTCCTCACTGTACTACACGTACATGTAGTTCATGCTAGGCTCCGACGACGAATTATGCTCTCGAAATCATGGAATTATGCTTTCATGGATGCTCGCAAAATCCTCATATTACATGTTTGCTTTGGGATGCGGGGATACTTATTCACTTTGTTGTACTTGTTGAGCCTCAAGGTTCGGAAAATTGTATTTTTCGTACCTGCAAGTGGCCATAAGTACAGCAAAGTACATGAATATCCCCATACCAAGGTGTTCATGCATGCAAAAGATCCACATGGAAAAGAGAAAACGTTTCTTCTTCTATTCATTAGTTGACTTCTTTTGTAATCGATTTTTTCATTGCCAAAATGTCAATCTCACCCTCCGAATAATCAGGCCATCTTTCCCGCAGCTCCACTTCACTTTCCATCCTGACCGAACATGAACAATCCCTCCTAATTTTTTTTAAATTATTAGAGTACTATCCACTAGATCAAATGCATACACCGGTATCGATATTTGCAATGGGAGTTGTCGATAAGATATGGCCTGCATAGCCATGGCTGCTAAAATCCAAAGGTCATGACTTCGTATCATGCATAATGAACATGCACGGGGAGTTTTGCGGGCTACCCGTCGTCGATATCTCGTCTGCCTCGAAATGCCTGCTAAAGGCCGATTCACTCTCATCTTCTGCTACATGTACGGTATCAGCGTGAGAAAGAACTTTGAAGAAGACGAGTTCGAGCATGCAACAATGTATTGCCATACCTTGCTTTTAACTGGAAACACTGTCTGCATGACCTCCGAACCCTTTACCATACAGACCACCAGCACTGATCAGGTGCATTGTACATAATTGTGTTTGTGTAGCCTACATACTAGAACTCTAGTACAATCATTATAGTTATGCTTCTACTTCCGAAAGGATGCCAAATTATGCTCCAAATTTTCAACCACCAAAATTTATTATGCCAATAAGGTAAATGATCTCACTTTCCCTAGTGACCACTGGTAAGAGCTCGGATGTCTTCTTGGGACTGTTGCCGCAACTGCCGCCTCATTATAAGGCCCCTAACCACGTTTTCAAACAGGACATCTGAATCCGTCCACAAAAACAACGCTGTGTCTAGGATGACCTGTTTCCTTGCCTAACTTGCTGCATGCACCGTATTTCCTTGTTCTAGAAAAGGTGAGGGTTTTGAAGTTGTGCCTTGGCTCGATGTGCCAATGAGAGATACATGGAGGACTGACTTTCTAGAAAGTCAAGTCAGAAACTTGGCAGTACAGTAGGTATGTAATTTTTCATAATATGTTCGCAAGCCACTATAGCATAGCCATATAGCATAGCCACTATAGCATAGCCACTATAGCATAGCCATATAGCATAGCCATATAGCATAGCCATTTTGTCCATGTGTCTAAAAATTAAATTAGTGACAGTGTTTCACTTTCTATCCAGCAGCTCTTACTCCTTTTGAATGCTAGGGGAACTACGTAGTCATTCCCTGAACTTTATTCACGTTTGGTGTCGCATGTGGATTTGCTCCTATACATGTACATGCACCACCTGTTATGCAAAGTGTGTGTGTGTGTGTGTGTGTGTTTGTGTTTATTAGTGGGAAGGATAAGTAGTGAATATAACCTCCCTTTGGGAAGGTATAATAGAATAGTGACCTCCCTTTGGGAAGGATTAAAGCTTCCATACGTTAGGTTCTTGTAAATAACCGTGGCGAAGCTTCATAGTAGAAGGCAATTGGTTGGAGCAGCCTGCTCTGTCTCAGTTACACTGCAATCGTTAACTAAGTACATGTACTTTACATCGAACAGTCATTACTGCAATGTTTCAGCAAATTTCCCCATCAGCAAGGTTTGCCAGCCCAGTCTTCTCTACCAGCTGACCTGCATACAATTGTCAAGTACATGTACATGTCCTGTAAATGTGTTGCTCAAAGGCTTCGGGTGCCGAGTTAACCAAACTAACTTACATAGTCATTGTTACAACTGACATTGTGGACTAGTACGCGCCTTTACCACACGCACACAGTCCGGATTGTACTCTCTCTCGAATTATGGGCCAGCCCTATTTGCACACATGACCATAATACTGGCGCTGAAACTGATTGTGTGGAGCAGCAATGAAACAATGCACCGCACTATACCTTCCCGAGCGCACACACAGACCAAGATTTTACCATGCCTAGCAATGCGTCCTCTCTCAGTTGAGTACATGTACCTATAAACTGTTAATACTGCCCAAAGTATGTACATAACGTTACACCTGGCAATAACATCTGGCCGCATGTTGGTCGCATACCGATACTCATCATCGGAGGACAGCACTCTTTTTAGCTTTCGACTCTCACTGTCAAAACTTACCCAAGCCTGAAATGCACAAAAGACGTATCCAGTAAGAATCATGAATACCAGTAGCGCCAGGGAAAACCGTACTCGCGCGAACAGTGCCCCTAGGCCCTGGGGCACTATTTTTTCAATGTCCATCACAGATGGGGCACTCTCCAAGAGAGGGCACTATTTTTTTTCAATGCTGGTACATTTATGTTATCCCGCGTAAAAACAAAGAAGGCAACGAAAAACAGAGCCTAAAGTTTACTATAAACTACCACGACTCAACAGAAAGGGCAACAAGAACTGCAATTTTGATTCTGAAACCAACAGTTCAATGACATGGACTCTTTCCATTGCCAGAAGAACACAAAACATGCATATGCGCTTGGTTACAAGCCGGGGGGGGGGGGGGGGGGGAGGGGAGGGGGGGGGGCACTACTGTAAAAGCCATATACATATATATAACGAAGTGCTAACTCTAACGAGTTAACGAGGAGCAATCTGTCGTTAAAATAGAAATCGTTATACAGAAATCGATACATCTACTGTCGTATTGAGCGTTGAGAACGAGTGAGAATCGTTACCTTTGGTACACGTAAACTAGTCAATTTTGGGAAATCGTTATGCGCCTGGTTAGAATAATGGCTTTTACAGTACTCAAGAGAGGGCTTTATTTTTTCTCTGGCTCTTAGAACTACTCGAGATAGGGCACTACTGCAAAAACACGAAATTTTCGGTGTAGCTTTAATTTCAGTGATTTCGGTAGAATTTAGGTGCCTGGTTTCTCTACCTAGAGACACCAGGCACCTAAATTTATATCACACCTAAAGAGCACTAACAGTCAGAGTATGCACTGTAGGTGAAGAGAACGCTGGTCACCTACAATACACCTGAAACCTGGCAACGTACATAACAGATGGGGCACTATTGGAGAGGGGCACTGTTCGAGAGAGGGCACTATTTTTTCAATGCTGCGGGTACATTTACATTATCCCGCATAA